CCCCCCATTCCTCGCCTTGCAGAGGCGATGTGCTCCCCTCGCCCCTCAGGAGCAGCAGACCCTGCCTGAGCTCCTGCACATCACAAACAAAAAATCTTTTTTTCAAATGGGCCCCCCCCCCCCCCCCCCCCCCCCAATTCAATTAAAGACAGACATAAAATCTTCCAGCAAAAGATGTTTCCTTTTAAAAACTAATAAATCCTGCAGTAGGAAATTTGCATAGGCAATTGTTGTAACTGTTTTTTCCCCAGGAGAGATCTATGGTTGTGTCTTTACCAATGAATTCAATGAAAGTATGTTCTCAGACACTGCAGCTCAATATCATATAAGGTAACCTGTATGACCACATCAGGCACTGAAGAAGTGTGAGGTCAGGCAGTTAGTGTGCCAGGGTTAGTCTGTATCTGGTATCTGAGAGCCAAGTTGGCTCTCTTTCTTACCATGGGAGACAACATAGAGATGACCGTGTCACAATCTTTCTAGGACTGTAATGTGATCTGGTAGCAAACTGACAACACCATTTGGTCCCATCCATACTGGCAAGACCAAGCTCCTTCGAGGACTAATAGAATGATTTGCTACTGTAGACATGTCACTTCATGCTGGGATATTACTTTATCATCTGCTAAGCAAACTATTTATTGAACTAATAATTTTTAGGCCACTTTTAGGTACTTTGGACCTATCCATTTTCTGGACAAGGTGTCATTGTCGAAAATCCTAGAAGATAACTGTTTTCCTAGGGTGTATCAGTACCAAGAGCAAGTAACATACCAATTCTTTTGAATCAAAGGCCTTTTCAGCATCCTGGGAGAAACACAGCAATTACTGACCTACTAAGAAAATGGATTTAGCTAGACTCTTCTCAGCATGCAAGTCATGTACAGTCCTATGTGCGAAATCATGCATAAAATTGCAATGAGTTAAAAAGCTTCCCCACAGCAACATAATAAAGGGCAATCTTTGAAAGGCCAAGCCTAGAAATAGAATGCAGTCTCAGAAAGTGTGTCATTCACTAATTATGGAGAGGCTGTATCTTAAAGTCATAATTAGCTTTCTATTATAAACCTATTTTTTCTTTTTCCCTCCCCAAGACAATTGAAGCTGCTGAAATAACTTTAAACATTTTTCGTGTCTGATTTTACTAATGATTTATGAGGGGAAATGGTATAAGCTGGCCTGGTCTTCCAGCTATGGCTGCACCATGGAGTGAGTGCCAAGATGCCCTTAAGCCTGGCCTTCCACTGTAGACAAAATGCTTTTCCTTGGTGCTCCCCCCCAACTGCAACCCGTTATGCAGGAAGGCTGCACTGGTTTTACTCTCTCTGGAATTATTCATTTCTGGGCAAATAAGGCTGGAGTTGCATGACTGTTTGCTTATGTCTGTGTTACTTAAGGATGACTTAAGTGTGGAACTTTTCTTTGGATTACACGCTAGATTTACATTTCAGCATCTGTAGAAAGAAAAAATTATATTGATGTCATTGAGTAACACATGCTAAGTTAAATTCGCTGTGATGCTTTTCACAGTAAACATACATTCAGAATTCATCTTTAGTCTATATACTTTGATAAGTATTTAAAAATAATTAAATAAATAATTAAGAAAAAAATATGCAAGCCACAGATTCTACCCTCCTTACTTTCATACCATTTGTATGTGAATATCATACTAATATAGTGAACTAATTTGCCTTTTGCAATTTAGCCACAGTTGTTTCCCTTTCTGGGTCAGGAAAGAATGTCTCTGCTTTGCTGTTTGGAGAGGGATATACGCAACTGCACATTATGAAAAGACTTGCCAACTCTGTCAGAGGCTCAGAGAAGGATTTACATTTGCACAGATGCAGAACAGGAATGGAATGCCACTGTCACCCTCCAGCTCTCTCAATCGTGTCATCCTTGAGTAATAACATGTATATTGAATGAAACGTTTTCTGCTGCTTGACAGCACGTGCCTTCCCTCACTTATACAGTATTGTGGTGCTACAAGAATTCTGTGTGTCAGTTTGAAGGAAATAGTTCCTGAAGGTATATGCAGCATAGGGAAGTTGTTAACTGATATAGCTGGGAGTAGGGATTAGCTGGGAAGACTTTGAATTCTCCCTATGGAAAATCATTGCAAGCTAGTTAATCTCTTCCCCTATACAAGGGAAGGGCAAAATCCTTCTCCATGGATGTTCTGCCCAGCCTATTATTTTCTTTGATGCCGTAATTTTATGTCAAGGCTGTAATATATATCCTAGAGCCTTTTTTTAAAGCAGATACTGATGCAAGGGAAGAAATTGAAAACTCGCCCATTTATTCAGCATACTTACAGCTATATGTGTTTGTTGTTGTACTGATAGTATGATACTGTACTGGAGGAGAAGCAGGAAACCTCACTGCTCTGTTTCAGTTCTCCATGTGCTTACAAGTATTGTAATGCACAGGGCAGTTTATAATTAGTATCATGACTCGCTTAATACTAGTAACTGCAACTATGCCCTCAGAGGAAATGACTTTTCCATACCTTTCAGTTCAATTGTGTTTTGTATTAATGACCCACTCCTTTTCTCTTGTGTCTCTTCTTCCAGAGCTCCTGAGCTGATGTTAAGAAGTGGCTTCTAGCAGGTGTGAGGGAGAAGACAAGGCAGATTTTGGCCCTCACAAATACTCTTCCAACTGTGCCTGCTTCCAGGAAAAAGGAAGACAAAGCAGAAACAGCAGCTTCCAGAATTCCACTTCTTCTGCAAAGGATAAATATAAATCAATTGCACAAGAACATAGCCTGAATTCAGTTAAACTGAACAAGACCTCCCTGCTTTCTGAGACCTGTCCTATTAAGTCTGTTCCTGATTAAAAGAGAATTAACTTCTGCGAACAATTAAGCAAGTGGCTTTAAAAGAAAACCGGAGAAGCAGCAGATGGTGAGGCACACAGGCATCTTTGGTAGTTCAGGGATGGAGTGAACAGTGAGTTGACTTTCACATGCTTGGGCTTTTTAGTGTCCACTGAAGAGATGATGAGCCACCAGGCAGTGAAGATTAAAAAATAATTTGCTAATTTATAAATCCAATATCTGCTTCATGTTCTTAACAGGAAGATATCAAAGAAAAAGAGACAATGGAGATCGAGGATAAGAACAGGTAAAAAAAATAATTAACTCCTGAAATAATTTTCTGTTAGGCTGACAAGTTCTTGCTCAAACCCCCATGGTCAGTAGGTTAAAGGCTGAGTCTGAAACTTGCCTAGCGTTTGTACAAAGTTGGTACTTTTAGAGGTGAAATTAATTTCTTAAGCTACAAAATCATACATAAGTGCCAGATTCTGCTGCATTTACTTATGAATGGTGTCTGTGAAATTAGTGAGAACTGCTTGAAAAAATTCATCACTCCTGTGAGTAACGGTTTTATAGTCTGACTTTCAATTTACATTCAGTCTACATTCACTGTAGCATTTTTTTGAAAACAAGTGAAAGAGAAGTTTTCTTCCTGCGGTTGTCTAACTTTGAATTCAACATATTGTTTTACTGGGAAGAATGTATAATCTTGCTAACAGATAAACAGCAAAGCAAGTTCCTTGTGTGAACAGTGTCTAAACAAACCTTATGAGATAAATGCTTATTTGGGTATTAAGTTGTCGTTAGAAATGTTCTTACTTGCTGTGTGTGGGCTGCATGAAGACAACGGCCTCCACCCCTCAGCCTTGCAATCTGCAGAATCCCCACGGATGTGCAAAGCTATAATGTACAGCCTCTGTTTTTCTCTGTGTGTTAAGACGGTGGCCTTTGAATTGTGTTAGAAAGTTGCTGTTAGCAACAGCTGACTGTTGTTTCAGGGTCTGTTCCACTCGCTTCCTGGGTAATTTCTGTGAAAACTTGTGAAAGTTAGGTATTTTTATTGCAAGGTGGCTGTGGGATAGAGAATTTGGGGGGTTGGATCTCTCTCTTTTTCTGCTAGATCAGTTAACTAGGTCCTTTTAAAGCAAATTTTGTACGTCTGGACCTCTCTGAGTTTTAGACATTGCACAATAAATCCATGCAGCAAGATTTTCTCTAATCCAGTAAGACATTAAGGCCTCTTGGCCTTAATCTAGGCTGCTGGTCAACTTGGTTCACAGCAAGGGCTCAAACTGGACCAGAGATGAAACTACAGAACTGCCAGGGAAAAGAGCTGGAAAGTATGGATTGTCTTAGATTGAGCTGCAGGGATGATACTCAAGCTGGAGACTGTGCATTGGACAGAGGGGACTGAATAAATGAGACTTCAGGGTTGGGGGACAGCGGGGACTGAATAAATGAGACTTCAGGGTTGGGGGACAGCGGGGACTGAATAAATGAGACTTCAGGGTTGGGGGACAGCGGGGACTGAATAAATGAGACTTCAGGGTTGGGAGACACAAAGAGACTTGACACAGACTTGACTTTCACGTGTGAATGGCTCAGTCTCTTCTGTTAAAGCAGATTTCTTGCAGTGAGCATTATTCATGCTGCCAACAATTCAAAATTCTGCATTTCAATATCGACATTTTTGGATACTATTAAATGATGGGCTTTGTTCCACCAGGATCATAAATGACAAATATCCTGTCATGTGAGTTACATACCGATTCTGCTCATTTTGTTCCATGCAGTTTGTGGTTTTTATGCAAGTCTCAGTTAAACTGAGTTCCTGTCAGACTACATAGTGATATTTCAGGATCTCCAGTGGAATTTTTTTATTCCACTATCAGTCAATTATAAAAAATCACAGATCCCAAAGATTTTTGCTAAAGCGGTTTACCTGAACTTCAACTGTAATATTGATATCATACCTACCTCTTTTTAATGGCAGTCAATTGTCAAATTTCACATCTATGTGCAAAATTAGGGCTTCAGATGCCTAACTTGAAGGAAAAACTTCCTTTTTAGCAGACTCCTGTGCCCTTGTGATGTCGCACCAAGTTAGTTTGCTTCTCAAATTTTGGTGTATGCCCTTCCTCCAGCATGTCTTTAGTCCACTGCAAATAGATGCTTTTGGGGGCAGGGCCAAGCATTTATGCTTTTTATTGGTTTTGTACAGTGTATATAATAACAAGGCTGTGCTCCCAGTTGGACCTTCATGAAGTTTATGCAATATGTATAGAAAGAGTGGCTGCAGTACCAACATCCTGTCCAGGTTTTGAAGTTTTAGAACTCTTCCCTTCACTATATGTATTTGGTACAATTAAGTTAATTAATGGTAATAGGGGTACAATTCCCTTAACTTCCCATCCTCATTCCTCTTTCTATCAACATGCAGATGCAATACAAATATTGAAAAAAACATCTTTTAGCTGTTTAACATCTTTGTTGGAGACATGGAAAGTGGGATAGAGTGCATGCTCAGCAAGTGTGCTGATGACACCAAGCTGTGTGGTGCGATCGACATGCTGGAGGGAAGGGATGCCATCCAGAGGAACCTGGACAGGCTTGAGAGGTGGGCTTATGCAAATCACATGAAGTTCAACCAGGCCAAGTGCAAGGTCCTGCACCTGAGACGTGGCAATCCCAAACACAAATACAGGTTGGGCAGAGAATGGCTGGAGAGCAGCCCTGAGGAGAAGGACTTGGGGGTGTTGGTGGATGAGAGGCTTGACAATGTGCACTGGCAGCCCAGAAAGCCAACTGCAGCCTGGGCTGCATCAAAAGAAGTGTGGCCAGCAGGTCAATGGAGGTGATTTTGCCCCTATACTCCACTCTCTGGAGACTCACCTGGAGTACTGTGTCCAGCTTTAGAATGCTCAACACAGGAAGGACATGGACCTGTTTGAATGGGTCCAGCAGAGGGCCATGAAAAAGATCAGAGGGCTGGAGCACCTCTCCTATAAAGAGAGACTGAGAGAGTTGGAGTTGTTCAGCCTGGAGAATAGAAGCTCCAGGGGCACCTTATTAACGGCCTTCCAGTACCTGAAGGGGGCCTACAGGAGAGATGGGGAGGGACTCTTTATCAGGGAGTCTAGTGACAGGATGAAGGGTGACAGTTTTAAACTGAAAGAGGGGAGATGTAGATTAGATATTAGGAAGAAATTCTTTACCGTGTGAGGGTGGTGAGACACTGGAACAGGTTGCCCAGAGAATTTGTGGATGCCTCATCCCTGGAAGTGTTCAAGGCCAGGCTGGATGGGGCTTTGAGCGACCTGGTTAAGTGGGAGGTGTCCCTGCCCATGGCAGGGGGGTTGGAACTCGATGATCTTTAAGGTCCCTGACTCTAACCGTTCTATGATTAGCAAATTAAGATGAACTTCTCCAGAAAGGCTTCATTGATTATGCTGTAGGTAAGTTTTGCTAAAATGTCAGTTTGTGTTAGGCACATAAAATCATAGAATTCCATATAGAATCATAAAATGCCACATGCTGTGGCAACAAAGGGTACGGACTCCACCAAGTGGTGAAGCGAAGACGTTTAATGTTTTATTTTTACAGCATATATAGTTTCTCTCTTTTGATCATGTGCTGTGCTCTCTGCACAGATAGGTTGTGGGGCCTGTCCACACGCAATTGTTGTGAGCAATACAATTGGCTACATACAAGCGTTCATGCCCCCAGGCCAATTAGTCGTTATTATTTGCTTTGTTATATTGTTATCTATTTGCTAGCTTGCTATCTATTTTGTTGCCTTCACATTACCATACAAGGACATTGTTTACGGGTCTCAAGGCTTCCTTCCCATCACTGCAAAACACCTGCCGAGCTCTCGCTCAGCAGCACGTCTCCACAATTCCTCACTCCCCACAACATGCTACTGTTAACCTGGGTACTATGCATCGCTAAAAATCCTGGAAGTGCTTTAAACTGGTCAATGATGGGAGGGAGGGAGGGAGTGAGTGCAGTCACACTACAGCTTTGGTTACCACAACCCATCAGCTGCTAATCCAGTCTTCACTGACGGTGAAATCCTTTATTGCTGCAAATTATTTTTTCAGTGTGGCTGCTTCTGTTTAAGATAGGCACAAGCAGGCTAAGTGAAGATAAGTTAACACAGGCTTAGTTAAGTTTGCACTTAAGTCATACAGAGATTTTACATAAATTATAATAATAGACATATTGTGCGTAATCAACTCTTTCCATAAGAGTGTATGTGTAAATATGAATACGTACACATTATAAATAAGCATACAATGTGTTGTACATCTAAAAAACTGCTCTGTAGCCTCCGTAGGCATTCTGTTCCCCGTTTCACTTTCCTTAAACTTTGTAGAAAACTCCCTTGACGTCTGCATTTCTTGCTTATCTTGTGTCCAAACATACTGAGGTATGCCAAGTGGCATACCGTCTCTCTTCTGTCACGCTGACAGAGATGTAAACAACAATGACAACATTTTCAAAAGCACCCTGCCCTTGGCTAGTGAAAGTTTTGCCATCCGCTTCACTGCAAGCAGTTAGGATGTCTTTGTCTTACCCTTGCTGAAGCTACAGGCTAGCACACTCTCCGTGCTGAAGATACCACAGCTGTCTTGTGCTTTCTGTTTCAGCTCCATCAAAATGAGTCAAATTAGCTCAAACAATCCAAATAGTAAGAATTTCTTAAATTGGGTAATACCATCTGGACCAGGGTAAAGGGCGATTATGTAAGAAGTTCCACCAGTAAATCAGAAAGAAGAGTGAAATGCAGTGGGGGTGAAGGAGGCTGGAGGTGCTTGATGTCTTACCCCGTGCCACCTTATGTAAGGACAGGACATGGAAAAATGGCTTCTGATTCCCAGTGAATGATTCTGCAACTCTTGCGTGTGAGCTAGCGTTTGGAGCAGCATTTACTTCCAGCTATTGCAGTTGTGTGACTGGACTTGTCACGTAACCCAGGAATCCCTTTCACTTCTTCTCTGCGTTTTCCCAGAAGAGGATGCCCTGCGTCGTTTCTTCCCCTTTCCCTCCCTTCCTCTCACTAGGCCTTGCATACAGCTCATGTTTCTTCCTCTGTGCCACCCATCCTTCTCTTGTCTGAAGAATAAATGGTTGCTTGCATTTCGGTATGAATCCCTGTTACGGAGGAGACAGAACCGATACAGGGCTGGTACAGAGCCAGCACTATCTGAGAGGATGTTACCAGGTACCACCCGCTATCTGATGTACAGATACTTGCAGAGGTGCTTGAAGTTGTGGCTTTTCATAATTTAAGAAAATTGCCTATCTTGTATTTCCTTCTGTTTGCTATTCTGTCTTCAAATGCATAGGGCTCTATTCACTGATGTCTAGACAATATTATGAAACTTTGGAGCGTGATTAGATGCAGCATTCAGAAGCAATAGGGATGGAGAAATAATTCTTAAAGTGATTAATGCATGTGTAATTTTGGGCTGCTGGTCTCATTTTAGTTACAGAGTGGATTTTCTTCACTTATGTAGAAGGATAATAGCTTCATTAGGTACTCTGGAATGAAAATAAGAAAAATATTTGTCCCGGTTTGACAATATCTTAAGGTAGTATGGAAAAAATTACCTTTGATAAGCTGGTTACCATGTGTCCTAAATGGAGACAAAGGACCTAGGCCTGGATTCATTATGATATTTAGGAAGCTACATGAGGAACTGAAACCTATTTGCAAATTTAGGCTCTGC